TACAGTCTTGTGCTGTCCTAGTCTGGCCTTTTACAGCCAGAGATCCAGGGGAGTTCAGACATGTTTCCAAGACATAACTCCCCTCTCCAAACACAGCTTAACACTGGCCTTCACAGAAATGGCCACACTACCCCAGCAACTCCACAGCTATTTATTGAGACATGAGTGAACGAGCTGAAAAAATATGAGTGAATTAATTGGTAGGAGACTGAGTGAATTAGTGACTTAATGAGTCAGCAAGAGAGTGAAGAAGAGTGTGTAAAATTGAGTAGATCATGCTCTATGCTCCTCATCTAATCCAATAAATGGTGATGTAGATTTTTCACTTTTATTAATACTAACAAGGGTTAAGGATAACCCAGGAAAAATAGTAGGCCATCAGCTAGGTGAGAAAGATCCTATGTTCATTTCCTATGGCTGCTTTAACAAATTACTGCAGAGTTAGTAGCTTAACATAAATTTATTGTCTTACAATGCTAGAGCTGAAAAGCTCAAAATGATTTTCACTTAGCCAAGATCAAGGTGTCCACAGGGCTGACCCCACTCTGGTAGCTTTAGGGGAGCACATTTTTGCTAGCCTTTTTCCAGTTTCCCATTGGTTGCCTTCATTTCTTGGCTTGTGGTCTCTCTCAGAGCATCTTCAGATCTGACTCTGATCCTCTGCTTCTGTCATCATATCTTCTATGACTCTGACACTGTTCCCTTTTTTAGTGTAAGTACCAGGTGATTACATCAGGATCCCCTTGGATAATCCAGGATAACCTCTCCATCTCATGATCCTTACTGCAATCTTATCTGCCAGGTTCTTTTTGCCCATTGTAGTAACACATTCATGGGTTTCAGAGCTTAAAATGTGGTTATCACTGGAGAAGCATCCTTCAACCAATGAGTCTCACTCCGCAGAGGGAAGGTCAGGAGGGGGTGGGACAGAGAAAGCTTCATTCACTATACACCTGTGTCAGTATTTGGGCTATTATTGTTAGTGTGGCCTAAGCACTGGGATTTTTCAAAGTGTAGGTGATTCCAGGATGTCAGTAAATTGAAGCAAGCCTTTGCCAGAGATACGCCAACGGAATAGACTGCTGCAGTTAGGAAAATCTGGCCCTTTGTCTCCTGGAGGTGACAGCAAGAGCAGGGCATCTTGATGCTGAAGACACATTATCATCTAAAAGATTTTACAAATAACTTTGTAGTTTGTAATAAGAATTGAGTTGGAAAGACTGTACACAAATTTTGTGACTACTCCTCACCCAACCTTGTCAAAGTGCCTTTCCCATCTAAGGAACATGCATGAAAACTAAGAAATCAACACTGGCACAGCACTAACTGCATGAGAGCTTTATTAGAATATTCCCAGTTTTCCACTTTTTGTTTTTGTTCCATTATCCAATATAGCATCTCTCATTTGAATTTAGTTGTCGCATCTTAAGTCTCCTCCAGTTCATGTTAGGTTCTTGGTTGGTCTTCTTTTCTCAAAACCTTGACACTTTAAGAGATCAGTTGTTTGACCCTGAATTTTGATTTTTCTAATGTTTTCTCAGAATTTGACAAGAGTATGAATTTGGTGGAAGGACACTGCGGTGGTGAGGTGCTCTCCTCGTGACATCACAGAAGGAGAGTGTGATATCAGTGTGGCCCATTACCGCTGCTGTCTACTAGGACTGCTCTGCTGAGCTGATGCCTACCAGCTTTCTATAGTATAAAGACATTTTTGCCCTTTTCCTGTCCCTAGGTCCAGTCTACACTGTGGGAGCGGGTTGGGCCAGCTGCTTTTACACTCATCATTTCAGTCTGGCTAATGCTCATGGCTTGATCATTGTCCAACCTTGATCACGACTGCAAAGAGGTAGCCTAATGCAAATTCACCCAAAAATAAATGGCAAAGTTAAATTTTTGAATTTGTGTCTGTCTGTCTTCAAAAGCCAGAAGACAAATTCAAGTTATTGCCACCAAACAGACAGGTACTCATGATCTCTGAACTTGTGTAGACAGAATTCTTCAGATCAGTCCATACATTTGTGACCGAACAATGGGTCACGAGCTTGACCTGTGGGTTGTACCATGAATAACACAATAGAAGAAACCATAACAGAAAATGAATTTATCATTCAGGTAGTAAGCATAGAGTCATAAAACTTATTGCTTCTGTGACTTTCTAAGCTTAACTAACTTTATCTTTTCACTGGGAGTAAAAATACCCCCCCCATAGAGTTATCATGAGGATGAAATAAGTTGACATACACACTATGTTCAGAACGGGCTGGCAAATATTTATCATTATTACCTACATGCATACATGTATGTAAATGAATGAATTATGATACAAAGTATATTTTTAATCATAGATTGCCATCAACATGTTCAAAGATATTGAACTCATCTCTAGACAAGGAGTCAATGAATTTATGACCTCCTGTCTATGGCTTGCTTTGTGAATAAAGTTTTACTGACATAAGGGCATGTGTCTGTGTTTATGCATTATGGTTGCTTCTGAGCTACACAGTAGAGCTGAGTACTTGCAACAAATTCTGTGGTCCACAAAACCTAAAACATGTACTCTCTGGTCCTCTATGTCCATACCTCTGCCTAGAGGTCATCTCTCCACGTAGAATACTAGATGTCTCTTCCCAAGCCTTCGTGCCTTGATGTACCTGAGCCCTGGCAGATTCTGCTTCTGCAAACTGTTCTGGACTCTGTGGCTGCAGCATTTGGGTCTCCAGAGGCTCAATACCCTTATGCTTTGAACTGATGCCCACGTGGTGTAAGGCCGCAGCCATGGTAGTATGGTCAGTGTCTCAGCAGGAAACAGATGGTGCCTCAAATTAAAATGATTTGAAGAGTGTTTAATAAAGGGATGATCTACAAAGGTGAGTGCAGGTACAGGAAAGTCACAGAATGTAGAGAAGTGGCAGAGTACTCAGAGCCAGTAAAAGGAGAGCTGTGATCAGCCTAGGATGGAGGGGGAAGAAAGCGAGTGAAGTTTGAGACTGAGATTCATTGAGAGAGGACACCTTAAGTGGAACAGAAATTTCTCCAGTCCAGGGAGGAGAGCCAGTTCTAGATGACCCCACCGGGAGGAGCCAGGAGAATAAATGCCTTGGTCTCACGGTCCTATATCCCTGATTTGTTGGGGTCTCCCTGGGTGAATAGAGTAGAAGGTGGAAAAGGATGCTGGAAGGACAAACCAACACCAGCATACAGCACTGATTTAGGAGGCCAGGTATACTGCCGTTCCCAACCTCTCCAGTGAATTCCCTTGCAGTGTCAGGCCTGCAAGTCCATAATGTGCCCTAGAGCCAATACACTGCACAGCATTTGCCTCTTCCTTTTCTCTGGATCTGCCTGGCATTAGATGGTTGTCTGGTTCATTTTCCTGGTTATTATCCTCATAGAGGGGGAAGAAGGGTATGTGCACACATGTGTGTTGTGTGTGTGTGTGTGCACAAATGCCTTAGCAGAATCTGATTAATATGTGCAGACTTCAGCTAAAGTTCGTCATGTTCCATCTTTGAATTTTAAGAAATAGCTGTGTCCCCTTCACCTCTACAGCCCTGCTCAAGTTCAACAAACAGGTGAGCCAACCTCTGACCTCTTAGAAGAAAAAGTAAAGCAAACAAACAAAACAAAACATCAGCAGCAGCAGCAACAACAACAAACTACTGAGGCTGATGAGTGTTCCCAGAGTAATCCTGACAAGACCTCCAGACACCACTAACCCAGACTTCTACTGGCATCTGATACCATACAGAGAATGTCTCTTGGAAGCTTTTCCCGAAATGCATGCTTTATGAGAAACCACAAGCTCACGAGAGGAAGAGCATGGTGTAGGCAGCACAGCTATGCAGACTGTGGGACTAGAATTCAGGCCTGGGAACTCTACTAGATTTCTATCTTTTACAGAAGCCAAAATTTGAAGTCAATTTTTGAGTCCTGTGAATGGATTTGTCAAAAGCTTCAAATGTGACCTGGGGTTAGGCAAGCTTCCTCAGCAGATAGACCCTCAGGCCCCCCAGGCAGGCAGAATGGAGTGCAGCTTTGAATCAGATCATCAGCTCTCAAAGGGCACACTGTTGGCCTTGAACTTTCTATTGTTTATGTTTCTGAAACTTAATTTTCTAGTTTTATGCATTTGGTACTATTATCAACTAGGAAGTTGTATTAAATTTAATCCCACATGAGTAAATATGTTGTAGGGGCCAAAGGCAAACAAACAATGCTTTTCTTTTCCTTCCAAATGGAAGACTGGTGGAATATTTGCAACAAGTTTTACAGAAAACCAAACGCCAACTCATTTGAGTGTAGCTTCTAAGACATTTGTGCTCCACTCCTAAGAAATGGGGACCCCTTTACAGGAGAGGGGGAGACCCCCAATGAGCTAAAAATGCTTTTGATTTCATGGACTCAAGTGTAATTAAAACACCTCAAATTTCTTTAGCGAAACGAAGGGTTCAGACTCATAGCCCAAGTGCTCTGGTTTTAAATTAGACAACTTTGTCCTGACAGCAACCGAGTCACAGCTGTCATAGCTGATTATTTTTAGAGTTACTACTAAACCCTTTGTATGGCATGAGCTGCCACTGTTCAAGGGAAACAGAAGGACTTCACATTTTATGCTGACAGCTCTGAGCCAGCCACCTCCTCCTGTTCTTTATTTCCAGCCTGTCTTTGGAAGGGAGGATGGGGCAACCTGACAGTCTCATACTGGGGAAGGCAGACCCTGTTACTACACCCAATGGATTTAAAGCCCCCAAAGTGAAGCAAAACCCATTGCCTCCAGGAAGCCAAGGAGACTTATTCCCAGTGGGAGCTGCAGCTCCAAAGCTTTCTTTGGATAAACCTTCATCTTCCCTGAGACGTACAGCTAGATCCTGGAGTAACCATCCAATAAGCACACCCATATACAAATGCTTACAAGTGTTGGCCAGGATTGGCTGGCTTGTGAAGGATGTCACAATTTCCCTCCTGTGACCCAACAAAGTCACTACCACTGAAAAGGCCGATCTCGGACTGCAGTTCTTGCAGACAGAAACATTCACTGCCAGAAGAGCACCTTCTAGATTGCTCCTGGAGTGTGGAGACAAAAATCTCTGCTGTCCAAATTACAGAAACCAGAAGAAAAAAGACATCATGATTTTATGAACATGGGAAAAGAAGTACAGCCAAAACCCAAGGTGAACGTCTCTTCTTACATCCACTTTTTTTTGAATTACAGGAACAAATGCAAGGAGCAGCAGCCAAATTCCTACTTTGGCTTTAAAGAGTTCTCTAGAAAGTGTTCAGAAAAATGGAGGTCCATCTCGAAGCATGAAAAGGCCAAGTATGAAGCCCTGGCGAAGCTCGACAAAGCCCGATACCAGGAAGAAATGATGAATTATGTAGGTAAGAGGAGAAAAAGGAAAAAGCGGGACCCCCAGGCACCCAGACGGCCTCCATCCTCCTTCCTGCTATTCTGCCAAGACCACTACACTCAGCTAAAGAGAGAGAACCCCACCTGGTCTGTGGTGCAAGTGGCGAAGGCCACAGGGAAGATGTGGTCAACAACCTCAGAGGCGGAAAAGCAACCATATGAGCAGAGGGCAGCTATTCTGCGAGCTAAGTACTTCGAGGAGCTTGAAGCCTACCGTTCACAATGCCGTGCCAGGAAGAATCTCCAGAGGTTGGCTAGAGCCCAGCGCAAGAGGAGAAGCTGAGTTGAGCAAAACTGATGGATCCAGTTTGACAAAATAAAATGCTGCTGAACTCTATTGCTTGGCCCTGGTCTCATGAGTGACCGTGAAGTTTTCATGGCTGTGTTGAAGTGGGTTGATGGGTGGAAGGGTTGGGACCACGGGTGGTCCTGGGAGGCTGGCCTTTGAGAGAAGTGGGTGGCGGTGTCCAAACGGGCTGGCTTGTGCACATGGGATAGAGCTGGATGAAACAGGGAGTGATGGAGGTGGGATCATCTGGTTTCAAATGGGTCATGCAGGTGGTCTGGTTGGGTGAGGTCCCAGAAGCAAAGCATGACCAGACACACACTGGGAACTCATCCCATAGGAAGGTCCATGCCAGCAGAGTTGAGTTGGAGCTACGGACACCAAGGGTCTCATTCCAGAATCTGAACTCCTGTGAAGCTCATTTACCCTTCCGTGGGCCAAGGTGAAACCCCAGGGGGGTGAATCTAGTGCCTAGGGTGAATCTAGGCACCACAGTAATTTGGTAAAATAAGACCTCTGGGTGAAGCTCCCATGTGAACCTCATTGTTCTGTGCCCAAATATGTACCATTGAATTTATGGCCATCTGACACCTGTGCCTCTTCCTCTTGGTCATGCACAACAACTTGACTCCTTTTGTGACTCCCTTTGTGACCAAGAGGAGCAGAGAACAGAATTCCACTGTCCAAGTGATTGGTCAGCAGTGGTCCAATCAGAGTGGGCCTCAGGCATACCATAGAAGTGCTGAGGGAGGATGCAGCCAGTATTTCCATCTCATAGCCTGAGAGGCCATGATGGTAGATAATCCCTGGCATACACTCTTTTGGACTTTTCACTGAAGATGAGCCCACAGATTTCATTTTCTGCAGAGGATGATTTGTGTCAAGTTTTCTGCTACTTAATAATTTGAGATGAATGGGGTTATATTATGTCTGTACAGTATCTGGATTTTTCTGGCAACAAAATACGGGCAGTATTTCATAACAATGAAGATGAATTGAAACTTGTGAAATGGTTCTTTTTATTTCCTGGCATCAAGACTGAGCCAAAACACCAAACTGATTTTTTTGTCCCCACTTATGTGCAAACAGATTTCCCCAACTTTATTGGTAATCCTACATTCCACTCGCTACTGGGATTAGTACTTTTCAAAAGTAAAATACAAACATAAAACTGCATAAGTCTTTTGGGATGAGAGGTCATATAATCCAGTGACTGAGAAATCAGGGTCTGTAATCGGGCACTGTGTTCATAGAGTATCCCACATGCTACACCCTATGCTGGGTATTCAGGGGCTGGACAGGGACTGCTGTTAGGATCCTGCTCCTTTGGACTTTTCCTTCTGATAAGAGATGGTCTTGGCATAATGCTAAAAGTGAACCCACAAAATACTGTGGAGAGACTGTGGAGGGACCTACCACGCCAATCACCAAGTCTTCATGGAGGAAGTAGCTTTGCTTTACCTGGAAACCTGTCTTTATGCTGGCAAAATTCCCATCCTCATCGCCCACAGCTGCTATTTCAATTTGGCTCTGCTTCCCTCAGCTCATCCTCCACCTTCTCAGGGGACATCCTCATTTTCTGCTTCATTGAGAAAATGGAAATCATCAGATGTAAGTGCTCATAGTTTTCTTTCTCAAAATGCCATCCATACCCATCCTTTCCTCCTGGTGTCACATGCCTCCTCCTCTTCCTCTTCCCCTACCTCTCTCATGCTTCTACTCCTCACCATAAGGATGCTGACCATTCAGCCACTAAGCTTGTCCAATTTTACTGGATGTTGTGATACGGTGACTCTAACCTGAGCAATGGCAGAACCTTGGGCCAGTCCTCATTCCTATGAGCCTCCTCACATTTCTTATCTGGGGAACAGGGATAATACCTGGCTTACACTGGGATAGAGCTGGGTGGAGTGGGGAGTGAGGGAGGTAGGACCTTCTGGTTCCAAATGGGTCATGCAGGTAGACTACTCCTTTAGTGACTAAATATATGACACAGGCATAATCCTGAACATCCAACATGTAGCATGGTGGACACCCTCTACGGTGGCTCATCTACATCCCTCCTCATGTGGACTCCCCATTAGCTGTGGACAGGACCTATAACTTGCTTCCAGCTAAGAGGACATGGCAAAGGAGACAGACTGTCATTTTCATGATTATGTAATGGTACTAATACTCCATCATCTTGCTAGCCGGTCTGCCCTGGAAATTCCACCCCTGCCCTGCAGTTCAATTAGGCAAACAGCCAACTTCAGAAAGTCTATGTGGCAAGGAACTTTGGAGATTCTTTAGCAGCTGAAGGGAATGTTCAGCCCAACAACCAGCAGAAAATGAAACCTCTCAGTTCTGTCTCCACAAGGTATTGCAGGCAACAACAGTCACACAGTTGGGGTGGTGGATCTTTCTTTAGTCAAGCCACCAAATGAGAACCCAGCCCTGGATGATGACCTTGATTGTAGTCTTTGAGACCTTATAAAATGGACCCAGCTAAGCTGTTCCTGACCCACAGAAACTGTATAAACATAGGTGTAGATGCAGGTATGTTTCAACTGTGTAAAGGCATGTTGTTTCAAGTCACTAAGCTTGTAATTAATACACTGCATAATGAATACTAACTTTGTCATTATTCTAGGAGAGGCCTTCTTTAGCATTATTTTTCCCTCCAGCCTCTGTCCTACCCTTACAGTTTCCTGTCCTTGGTTATAAGTCCTTGAAGGTAATCACTTTGCAGCAGTTCTCGTGGAACCACTGTTCTAAGCCCAAACTGTTGGCACTTGGAGGACAGCGGCTATGTGATGCCCACAATCCTCTCTGAGAAGAGGTGGCCGCAGCTGAGCCCTGTCCATGTGATACCACTTTCTAGTTTCTTGTGATTAATGATGTAGTAAGTCAGAGATCTGACAACAGTATATGGCACCCCTGCGGAAAGCAAACTCTATTAATAGTTCTTTATGAAAAAGACAACAGGAGGGCATAAATCTGCTGGCTTCTGATGACTGCAGTGTAATGACAGTGGAGGGAGACAGGGTGGGGGATCCTGGACCTTAGATGGAGGTCTGCACGTGGCAGCCTCACAGGTTCACCCAGCAGGGCTCAGGTGCCCTGTCCTCCGGAGGCAAAGCCTCGAGACCCATCACTGTCTTGATGACCAAAACCTCCACTCTGAGCCTTCCACCTTGTTTGCATAACATTAATATTTTCACTCATTCAACAAATATTTATGTGAATCTTATATTATGCCTGCAAGATACCAGTCCAGTGACTGTTCTGCTGCTGGGGATACATCAAGGTCCTTAATCTCTTGCATGCTAAGGAGGAGATAGACAATAAACAAATCAACAAGTAAACACATCAGAATATTTTTTGATACTGTCAAGTGCTCAGAAGGAAATAACCAGGTTGATAAGATAAACAATGACAGGTGGGGTAGTGGGTACCTAGAATGAGTGGCCAGAGGATCTCTGGGATGACATTTCAAGTTTAAAGGATAAACAGCCAGGGGTATCAAGATCCAAGGCGAGAATCCTTCAAGTGGGAGGGCAGCAAGTGCACAGGCTCGTGGGCAGGATCGAGTACAGCATCTTAGTAGGACAGAAAGAGACCAGAGTGATTGGAAGTGAGGCAAGTAGTGAGATGTGGTTGTAAAGGTACAGGCTTTGCCTAGGGGTTCACTTTGAGATGTAAGTACAATGGTGTGGAAGCCTCCAGACTCAAGACATCTTGTCCATATGGAACGGAGATCACAGGGAGCCTCTACTTAGTCTTCCTAGAAGGAACTGTGAGGGCTGGGCAACTTTCTGCCTGTGATCTATTTTCCCAGGAATAGGGTGGGGACCATGAGTGGCAGAATATTCCAGGAAAACACTTCTTCCTGGGCCTCATATTTCCATGAGGGTCAATTTCCTCTAGATCAGTGGTTCTAACTCAAGGCCTGTTAGAATCACCTTCTGGGCTTAGAACCCCAATCAGGCGCTGCCCATACCAATCCCCTGAGTCTGACTCAATATTTCTGGGAGTTGGACCTGTGAGGTGCATTTCTGTCATTCCCATGTATATCTGATGCTGCAGGTCCCAGAACCACAGAAGGATCCTTCTCCTTCCTGCAGCTTCTCAGTCACTCTTCAGAAGAAACAGGAGTTCATCTTAATTATTGGTGAGCTTGGGAGGAACTCGCCCCGATCAGCTTCACCTCCCCCCTTCCTCCTTTCTCCCTCTCTCCCCACAGTGTGTATTCAGGTCTGCCTTCCAATTGGTCCCTCAGTAATCAAGGTGACACTCTTGATCCTCATCTGGCTGTCCTCAGCATCTGCAATTGATTCTGCACTGGAGAGGGAAATGGATATACTTTATTGATTGCATTTCCCTCAAATCACAACAGAGAAGTTGATCATGGTTGCAAAACAATCGATAGGCATCTGGACTACAAAACCTGACTGAGATTCATACTGCTTTCAGTCTCCACTAAACACATCAACTGGGGACAAGGAAATCTACTCCTTTAGTCTAGTCCACATCAGGACATAGTGAGGTCATGGTGACAAGGTCACAAAGGTAGTGGTGCTCTCTCTGTCCTGTCCTGTGACCTCTCCTCACACTTCTACAAGCAATACATGCCTTTGAGGTGTGCTGAGAATAAATGGACTGTCATGGACTGACATGGACTGTCATGTGAGAAATGCCCTAGGAATGGGGATGCCTGCCCTGGTCTTTGAAGCATGTGTTAGAAGGCAAGAAAATGTAACGGCAGTTTCAAGCAGAAGAGACAGCTCAGCCAAGTGAACCATGGGACTGGTCCTACCCTCTGATTACCAGTGACACTGTTAGCCTGCTGTGACCAAGCCATATTGGGGAGCATGCCCCTACAAGAACTTTCCCTAGCCCTGGCCTCTTTCCTAATCCTCCCCAGCAGTAGCTGGTGAGCTGTCTGTCTAAGAGCCTCCCCTTTAGCAATGCAATGTTTCAGAGGCTGCCTGTCACCTATGAGTCTGACATGGCTACATGAGGCCACTAGGACCTTGCCAGATACACTGTCCTTGAACTTCTGAAATGTT